TCCTATGTTTCCACAGTAAAATTAATTATGTTTTGTAAAAGATGGTAAAGACCTATTAAGTACACCTCTGAGAAGTGGCTTAGTGTTTTTTTTTTTTTTCTTTAAGTTTATTCCTAAATATGTTTTCACAAGGAAATGTGCTCAAGGACAGATTCAAGCAGCATATTAAAGAGTTACACAATGTATTCAATCACTTGTTTAAGTTCTGTATCTTTCACAGTCTTTTTCCAGACAGGCTTACATTCCTATTAGACAATAATACTGAATGTGACTTTGATCTACCTGTAAATATGCACAGATAATAATCTGTGTAACCAAATAGAATCCTACGTAACTACTACCACACAAATAACAAAAGGCAAATGTAGATTTTCTAGGCTTCTTCCACTGTGAATTTGGTTTTAGAATTCTCCTTATACACGATAAAAAAGAACTGACCTCCAAAAAAGCAGAAATCTTGATACTTAAGAATCCACGTTCATTGGTTGCTCAAACCTGAAGAAGATGCCTAGCTACAGACTACTTCACTCTTACAGGGTATTATCTGTTTACCATAAAGAAAAGAATCACCCTCATCTTCGCTATTATATAATCACAGCATTACTATTAGCTAACACTGTTGAATTTGCTAAACTTCACCTAATTCAGGTGTGGTGAATTTGTGTTGTCAGAGCATCCAACCCCAGGTGCTGTTGCAGGAGAATGGTCTCCTTCTCACCTTACCTTTTACACCAGTGCTGGAAATGTATCCAAACAAATCTGTTTAATTTGCTGCTCCATAAATCTGCCATAGGCAAGCTTCCTTCTTTTACTGAAGTGTACAGGCTAGGCTACGAACAATGGCTTAAGAAACAACCCAAGATTTGGAACAATAGGTGATGGCTTCATTCATTTGGACCTTTGATTTTCTTGGATAAAAAGCAAATTCAGGTTCAACCTTCTTTGAGCACAAGCTCAAATATTTAAGCACTTAATATATGAAAATAAAAATGGATCAGTGTGTATATTTGCAAGTGCATAAGAAACTTGTACATCACTATTAGAAAACAGTTTTTTTGCAGTGGCTGAGCTCTGTACAGCACATGCAGGACTGGAACAGGGGTATGTCCAGCTCTGAGAGCTGCCCTGTGCTGTGCCAACCCCCCACGCTGTGAGGCAGCAGCATAGCAAGCTGTGAGCAGATGACTCACCTACCATCACTGCTGCCAGCAGCAGGGTGAGGCGGGTCCCATAGGTAGCAATATGCGAGACACATTCTCCCCAGTGATTTTGTAAGACAGAAGAAATATGCTGAAAGGAGAAACAGAGTACAGTTAGCACTGTCCTGTGACAGAAAGATGACTAACAATGAATATCAACCTGGCATGTGTCTCATTTACTCAGAATTGTGAAAGGATAAAAATATTTTTACCTATACCTCTGCTGATTGTCATCTACAAAATGAGATTCTTCACTGGGAAATAAATAGACCTAGTTACAAACAAACAACCTTGAAATCTGCTTTTTTCACAAAGTAAGGGCCCTTTTAAAATAAGATTTTCCTGTGTCACTTTAATTAATTAAGCAACTATAGCTACATCATAAAGGCTTATTTCTTATCTACTATGTAGATGCTGTAGAGAAAAAAAGCAGGGGAAGCACGTTTCTGTCAGGGATGAACAATTAGCACCCATCAGATTAACTACAAATACTAGAAGCTTAGCTGCAGTCTTTTAGCTTTTGGGCAAATTCTGTCATATTTAAACACACCAACTGCCAGAGAAACTTCAGCTAGAATAGTTACTATCTAATATACTTCAGAACTCCTCACTTCCAAGGTACAAGCAAATAAACAAATTTCTCAAGAAGTTTCCTCCTGTCTCAAAACTCGTCTAATTTCCAGGAGTAGCATACCCAAATGAATCAGAAATATTATCTTTCCTCACAGTGTTAATGACATCCTACTAGCTGATAAAATCAGCAGCTGGGAAGTGTAATCCTGCCACCACACTCCTTGGTTTGCAATTCACATCCTTCAAGCTGTTGTCCGGTTCATGCCACTTTCTCAGCAGATTTCTGAACTGTTTGCTTATATGCCCAAAGCATACTCAGCTGGCAAGCCCTTTATAATATAAATATTTTCCTTATTGCCAGGAGAGCTGGCAACCTCCTTTTGTCTCCATGATCACCATTCCGTCATGGAGTTTGTTCAGAACACATAAAAAAAATGATTTCCTAAGAATGTTCTCAGCTATGTTTACTCCAAACTGGCCTGATAACCACAGTCTCATTAAAATTTGCTGGTGGTTTGATCTTCTTCAATAAAAGAAGTTGCGCTTTCCACAGTGTGAGCATTTCTTCTCATAATTAGAAATCAAATTGAAAAGTACACAACTTTTTGGTCCAAAGTATTTCAGGCTGAGAGTGGGAATACATTTGTTTCACTCTTGAAAATTTGAAAGCCACAGAAAAGAAAACATTAACTGAAAGTTCAAGGAAAAAATATAGGTAAAATAGACAAAAATCTATTCAAAACTTATTCATCTCATTACACCATCTAGCTCTGCAACAGATAGCAGAGTCCCTTCTACTGCCTTTCCTGTGCAAGGACTCTTTAGGATTTAGAAGATAGGCTGCTGTATTTTGAATTGCTTTGAGATCTTTTTTTGCTAGTCTCTGACTCTGCAAACTCCTAGTGAAGATTATTATGTCACTTTCCTGTACTAAAATCCCAGGCTGAAATTACATGACTCATTCAAACACTGCAATCCACCTGCCCAAGCTACCTGCCTTGCTGTCAGGGATGCTGCCGTGCAAGGATTGCTGGACTGGAATCAGCTGTGAGCTTACACTGGGCACCTACAGCAATCCAGAAAGTGTTCAAGCTGACACCCATATTCACTTTCCCTCAGCTTCCTCAATACACATGTTACAGGAAGCTGAGTTTTCTCAAACTCTCACTGATTTATTGTAGTTAAAATTACATTCAACTCCCAACTTCCAACTAATATTTCCTTATTTACAACGTTCATTAGCTCATTTCAACAGTAGCATAATGACAGAGCAAAGCCCTGTGTAGCAAGATAAAAACTAACTTGAGGCCTGGAAAGGAAATACTTGTTTAGCACAGAATCTACCCATGCCAACTTTGATACTCCAGTTAATTATCCTTTCCAGTAAGGCAAGCTGGCAGGAGAGGTGTATGCTATTCCTCACAGCAGTGTTACTGAGCTTGGATAACCAAACATGCCACTGCTAGACTTTAACTGTTGGCTAGGATTCAACGGAATTATCCCGTATGAGGAGAAATGTCATGATTTGTAGTTTTCTTCTGAAGGCACATGCTAAATTGTCTATCTGTTGAAATCATTCCTTTGTCCTCTTAGGGGGAAAGGATAAACAGCACAGTGAACTTCTAGGATATTTCAATTCACACTGTGCTTCTGTTCTGTTCTCTTTCTTTCTCCCCACAAAGCACTAATTTTTCAATCTAAGTAAGTGATGAAGTAGGCTTCCATGAATGTGCATATAAACTAAATTTCTTAAAGACTGCACTATTTAGATGCCTATTTTGGAGAAGAAAATCACAGTCATGCAAGAACATCTGCTGCTGCACTATATGTCTGGCCATGCTCAGGTCCAATTAGGTCCAACAAGTGAACATACTAATAAACTCCATTCTGCAGGGGAAAAATAAACAAATAGACAAACATTCAATTCTTCTGATTCACATTCTAGCTTACTTTTGAGTAGACTTTTGAGACAGACTTTTTATACATCTTTGGTGTGCTAACAGGGTGCCAGGACAGCACAAGAATTTGGTCTCACAACTGCTTGAAGCAGGAGCTCTGGCCATGTGCAGCCAGGCCACTTATGTGAGTTATATGATATTATTCCATGACAGTGGGTAAAGGGAGTCAATGGCGCAGCATCTTGTGCTTCTAATCCTTCTTAAATTCACTTGTGAGTTGCTCTTTTTTTAGCTTCTCAGTCTCTCAAACACAAAACTTGTGCACAGAATCCCAGTCCTGAACTTCATCTATATATGAGTCTCCGAGCTTTGTTCAAATTCTTACTATCATTTGATAATTGAATGTATTTTCTTAGCAGCCAGTAATGCAAGTGTGTTTCATGTGTTAAAAAGTTACATCAACAACTGATTTGCTTTCAGACTAGTTTCCTGTTCCTCTGTGTTACCATATGGAAAGAAAATTGAACCAATTGCTTTGTTTATGGCATAACTAAATGACATATGTGCTACATCATTCATTGGCTCTATAAGAAGTAATAAGGTCACAGAAAAAGCCGGAGCAGCCTGACCTTATTTTCCTTCAGGTCTGGCTACATTAACACACTTACTGGAAGAGGAGATACTAATGATCCAGCCAGTACTTATCAGGACAAAATTAGTAATGATATACAATCCTCATGGTTTTACAGTAAGGAGCTCCAGTCCTAACAGAAGTCCTGGTAATGCCCTGCTTTAATGTCCGAGTGAAATCTGTGTATGTGACCCTCCGAAACAGCTTAGCATTAAAAAATATCTCAAAACCTGACCCAGAACCAGCTCCGAATGTTCAGTGTTTATATATTAATGCAGCGAGATATTGAAGCCCTCGGTGCAGTTCTGAAGGATTGATCATGTGGAGATCTGTTGAGACAGGTTAAAAATCGGAAAACAGGGATTTTTTTTCAAAGTTCTAATGATGCAGAGCTGCATAATAATCTCCCTGTGAACCATAAACATAATAAAAGCTGAGGCCATTTCTAACATAATCTCTATCAGCAAGATGCCAGCGCTTTTCCAGATTTCCTAACGGGTCCCTGCTAATTCCATGCCAAAACTAGCAGTGGATTTCTTCCTTTTAATCTCCCCTAATGCCTTATTCGATTATTGTCACTGCTCTCCGACCGCGCACCGTCCCTTCAAACCCTAATTCCCCCACCGAGGCGGTCACATCGGGCTGAGCGGCGGCGGAACCGGAGGGCGCGCACAGCCACAGCCACCCCCACTCGCCCAGCACGGACAGAGCGCGGCCGGGGACCGCGGGGACGGGGCCGAGCCAGCCGGGCTCCACGTCCTCACCCGGCGGAGCCGCCGGCCGAGAAAGGAAGGATGAGAGCCCAAACTTGCTCCAGGTGACGGATCCGAGGGCACCTGAGCGTCCTCGCGCAGACCTGAGGCATGGCTTTGCTCATCGCTTGGGTCTGCGTCGCTGTGAGGTGAGTGAACGCATCGCCCCGCACCCCAGAGCATCCTCTCAACGCGGAGCGGCCAGCGAGGGGTCACCGGGCCGCCTCTCCTGCCCTGCTCTCCCCGACGAGCGCGGGTCTGGCGGGTGGGCTGAAACGGGACGCTGACGGCGGAACTCGCCTCTCCCCGCAGCATCGAGAAGGCGCTGGGGGGCCAAGGCGACGGGGGGGACCTCTACTCGGAAAACATCACTCGCATCCTCGACAAGCTGTTGGACGGCTACGACAACAGGCTGCGGCCGGGATTTGGAGGTAGAAGGGGAAACTCCCGCCCCGTCGGGGCGGTGGGGGAGCGCGTCGGCTCCCGGGCATCGGGCCGCACCCGGGCTGGCGGAGGGTCGCGGCACGGACACAGCGGGGTGGTGGAGGGGGGGGAGAAGAGGTGGAGATGAAAACCGGGATGCGGAGCAAAGTTCCCGTGCCTCGGCAGCCCGCAGCCTCCTGCTCGGGGCCCGGCCCCGCTCTGCTCCGCTCCCAACTCGTCTCCGTGTCCCGCAGGTGCCGTGACAGAAGTCAAAACGGACATCTACGTGACCAGCTTTGGGCCGGTGTCCGACGTGGAGATGGTAAGGGCCCCACACGCTGTCCCTGCTCTCCTTTCCCGGGATTCATTACGGTGGCATCTGAGCTGTCCGTCATTAGAGCAGATTACGAGCTTTAATCTTGACAATCCCTATGGCCCGGCAGGGTGCTTTGGCTGGAGCTGCATATAGCTATTTCCCCAGTGCCAGTCACCCGGTGCAGCCCTGTGGCCCCGGATGAAGCTGGGCATCGAGGGCAGCGCTCACCTCCTCTGAAGCACACGGAGAGCTTAAAGATGCCTCCTGAACCTTATGAACAGCTAACACAGAGGTTGGCTAGGAGGCCGTGTGGTAGGAAACATCCTGCCATGCAGCTGCAGATGTAGTGCTGTTTGTGACAGCAGCTCCTTGTCACGCTGGGAGCCCCAAAATTCAGGTAGCTGCAGACTTGGGTAAAATCCATGGATTATGGCAGCAGCTCCCAGGGAAAGGGTGAACCATCACCGTTGTCTTCCTGGAAATGGACTGCAGTCGCTACTTTTGTTTTTGTACCCTTCCTCCAATACCTGCTCAACAAAGGCAGTGTTCCACTGTGTGACCCTAAAGGCACCCAAAACTTTTTCTACCTCTCTTCATAAGTCAGTCTAGGAGAAAGCATAGAGAAAGTGTGCTTTTATTCATATCTGCCTCCTGCCAAGGTTTAGCTCAATTTTCTGAATGACTTTCTCAGGTAATTCCTTTCTGAATGGTTGGGACAATATTAAGCATCCTTGAGAATATCTAACATAAACTTGTCAGCATAATGTTACTGTAATTAATATTTTCCTCATCAGTCCTTTCTTCATGACTATGCAAAATAAGCTGCAACGGAGGCCACGATTATGTGCTTTTGTTCCTGGCAGCTAAATATTAATAGTTTGTTTTCAAACTTTGAAAGGATACAAAAGTAGATATTTGTATTTCTCTTTGGACGTCAACTTCAGTCACTTTGAATTAAATTATTTTCTATGAGAGGACTATGGAATTTTTTTTTTTTTACATCAAGATATCTGTTCTCTGGTTAATTTGCAACTCCTCTAGAACAATAACAAAGAAGTGTGATATTTTTCTTATGAACTCTCCCTCCCTCCCTCCCTCCCTCCCTCCCTGCCTCCTTCCTTCCTTCCTCCCTCCTTCCTTCCTTCCTTCCTTCCTTCCTTCCTTCCTTCCCTCCTCCTTCCTTCCTTCCTTCCTTCCTTCCTTCCTTCCTTCCTTCCTTCCTTCCCTTCCTTCCTTCCTTCCTTCCTTCCTTCCTTCCTTCCTTCCTTCCTTCCTTCCTTCCTTCCTTCCTTCCTTCCTTCCTTCCTTCCTTCCTTCCTTCCTTCCTTCCTTCCTTCCTTCCTTCCTTCCTTCCTTCCTTCCTTCCTTCCTTCCTTCCTTCCTTCCTTCCTTCCTTCCTTCCTTCCTTCCTTCCTTTTTTTTTCAATTACTTAATAGTAGCAATAGATTACATCTAATAATAGATTAGGTCTCTAAGCAGTAAATTAAAAGCTATTAACATGTGTTAGGGTCTTTCATGGAGTTACTCTATATACAGCAGCTTAGGATTGCTGACCCTCACATATAATTCATCTATTTATTTTCCATAGGAATACACAATGGATGTCTTCTTCCGGCAGACATGGACTGATGAGAGGTTGAAGTTTGGTGGGCCAACAGAAATTTTGAGATTGAACAATTTAATGGTCAGTAAAATATGGACACCAGACACGTTTTTTAGAAATGGAAAAAAATCAATTGCTCATAATATGACAACTCCTAACAAACTTTTCAGAATTATGCAGAATGGAACTATTCTTTACACAATGAGGTGAGAGCTTTTTCTTCTGCTTTTAGTTGACCTTTGCTTTGTTTTTCATTCATTCAACAGTTTTCCGGCATACCATTCATTTTTGACTGTCATCTACTTCAATGTTTTCTAGACTAACCATTAATGCTGACTGTCCTATGCGGCTGGTGAACTTCCCAATGGATGGACATGCTTGCCCTTTGAAGTTTGGAAGCTGTATGTTTTTCTATATCCTTCAATTTCATATAGTAATACAATTGGTCTCCATGTCTCCGTGTACATGAGATCAGAAGTGAGATCCTTGGACACTGAAAGTCTTTATTAAGTTTTTACACTAGAATCTTACTCTTTGCTCTAAAGCTCGGACAATTCTTAGGCATATGGATATGTTCTCTGAAGGATGGCTGTAACAAATTATTAGTACTCAAATTTGTTCCTTTAACAAGTCATAAAATCTGTAGTACATTTATTAAACTCTAATTTTATAAATTGAAAACATTTAGACAATCTTTAGCAATCAATGCATGTATTTAATAGCAAATTAAAAGCAAAAGTTTGTACCTATCAGTTCCCATCTCAGCCATTCTCTGCATTCTCTCCATACTTTTTTTTTTTTTCATATGGTCATTCATGCTAAATTTACTGGAGTAGGATGCAAATTTCTATGGATATTTGATGAGTGGGATCATGCTACTTCTGTTTTTTTAATAGCTTATAAATCATATCATGTCTATTGGTATTTTTTCCTTGTGTAATTCAGATGCTTACCCAAAAAGTGAAATAATTTATACATGGAAAAAAGGACCTCTGCATTCTGTAGAAGTACCACAGGAGTCTTCCAGTCTCCTCCAGTATGATCTCATAGGACAAACTGTATCTAGCGAAACAATTAAATCTAACACAGGTAAGATGTAGCCATAGGGGTACTACTGACTACATAAACCATCTTGAAAACAGATTACAGACTTTTTCATTCAGTTTATAATTGCATTACTGTAATTGCCTTTTGTTATTTTGAAGACTAAAATCCTTGCAAAGAGTTTAGCTGTGGTCTCCTAGAAGACTCACATTAAGAATTCCCCTGGCCTCCCCCTCCCAGCAAAAACAATATGTAAAAATTAATATTCTTCTCTGCTTCCCATAGGTCACTTTACCTTTGTTGTTGGTTTATTTTGATTATACACTTGAAAGCTTATCAGTACTTTCCTTAGGACACAGTATGTTGAATTTAAGCCAATAATGTTTATTCATACATTGCCAAAATAATGCTGACATACTTGTCTCCTAACAGGTGAATATGTAATCATGACAGTTTATTTCCACTTACAAAGGAAGATGGGATACTTCATGATACAGATATATACTCCTTGCATTATGACAGTCATTCTTTCTCAGGTCTCTTTTTGGATTAACAAGGAGTCTGTTCCAGCCAGAACAGTTTTTGGTATGCTGCATTAAGGTCTTTGAACACCTCAACGTCATACATACCATTCATTCATCACTTTCATTGCTTGTTTGTTTTAGGTGAATATTCACTTCAGCTGCTCTATTTCCATCTCCAAAGGAAAATAGGCTACTATCTCATTCAGACATACATTCCATGCATCATGACTGTAGTCCTGTCTCAAGTTGTGTTTTGGATCAACAAAGAATCTGTTCCAGCAAGAACCGTGGCTGGTATTCATGTTTTGTTTCCTTTGTCATTCGCTTCATCACTATATTCAATCCACTGCATTAATCAGCTAGAGTAATCTAGTGGGCATTAGCCTTTAAACTGAAAAAGACAGAAAGCACTTTCCATTGAACAAAAGCATATACTAAAAATTAAACCAAATGATATTTAATCTTCTCACCAGAGTCAAAACTATTTATACAGAATGTTTATTTAGCCAAACTAAATACCCTTGTTTAAGCAGAAGGGCCAGTTTAAAAATGAGGAGGTAAGCATCCTTTCTGCATCGTACTGCAAGTACCTGAATTGTTAAGATTTTTCAGTTTTGTTTTTATGTTCTAAAACTGTGACAAAACTGAACAACATTATATTTTTATGAAGCACACCTTCTTAAAATATAGGTTTGAAAGAAATTAATGGTAGAAAAATAACAATAATGTGACCAAACCAATATCTCAGAGAAAATCACTTAGCAAATCTACTTACCTCCAGAGTGGAGGCCAGTTATCTTTTGCAGATAACATTGTAGTAAGATTCATAAGCATCTATTCTTTACAGATGAAATATAGGAAAAAGATATTATTGTGCTCTTTATCATAGTGACATTGGAAAGAACAGCAGATAGGCAATACGAGATTCCTTATTTTGTGTGGAGCTTCTGTATGTAGGTATGCTTATACATATACAAGTATATGTATCTTTTTGTAAAGCATGGTGTTATCAGACATTACTTGGTGTAGGAAGCATGGTTATTTGAGGCCAGGTTCTATGTATGACCTGTCAAGTATTAAATGCTTTGAACCATATAACAACGGCTGTTTCACATTTTTAGGTACCTTTATGTAATCTTTTTTTTAGTTTGGCAAAACGTGATCTTATTTTGCACAGATCCATGGCCAGCTTCTACCCTCTTCCTAGAAATTTTGAATTTTTAACATATTATCTAGTTATTAAGCTTTATTTGTAACTTCTCAGATACAGAAAGTTTTAAATTATTTTTAAAGAAAAAGTAGCATTTCAGTATTTGCATTATGTACCAGATTTTTCAAAATGGAAAGACAATCATCAGTTACACACTTTACCAACTGTAATGTGGCATTCTGTTTGATAAAGGAGTTTTCCACAGCACAGACAATTTCATCAAAATTCACATTGAGAACGTTCTTATCTATATCTCTAATAGAAAAGGAGTCCTATTCCTAAGTTTAAATTCTTGCTGTAGAAGGTTTTCATTCAGACACAGAAAATATCTTTTTTTTATTATTATTAACTAGCACATAGGCAGATCTTAATCTAATCATGCATCATATTGAAAAGTTCATTCTGGACATCTGAAATTGAAATTTATCTCAGCATAGTTGCACTTAGGTTATTAAATGAGTCTGGCAGACTTAGGAGAAGTAGATACCCTACATATTTTTATATATCTTCTATTTGCATTTCATTAAAACATGTTAAGTAGTGACATTGAGAATTACTTGATCTCAGACAGCTGGCAAGCTACATCATGTGAGAAAGTTGCAAAAAAATCCTGAGAATAATCAAGTCACCCTGCAGTATGCAATGACACTGCATCCTTTCCACTCAGTATCATTCATAGCATATTGATTCATCATTGCAACATGACATGATAACACCTTTTACTTTCCCACCTACCCTTTTCCAACTGCAGAAAGGAGCAGAGGAGGGTATTTTCCTGCTTACTGTCTTTACCTGTATTTTTCAGATTCAAGCAGGCATAATTATAAGTAAACATGAGTCACAGAGGCTTGTATGTTTTAACAGATGAGTTTGCACTTGTATCAGGGAGCAGTGGGAAGTAAGTATACTTCCCACATAATTCATGCTGTACATTGCAAAACAGAAAAAATAAGTTCATGATAGATGTGACGAATACTTATGGGGCTCACAAACTATATGATAACATTTTTTGTGTGTGAAAATACATAAGAAGTTTTATTGAAGTACTTTTTCCCATCATTTCATATTTGTTACTATGGGAGCATTCAAATCGATACACTGTTAGTGAATCTTTAAAAATGTATTCAGAAATTAAAGATCATTGTACAGAAGACCAAACTCTTATTATTAGAAATAGGCTTACATTATTATTAGAATATTAGGCTCACAGCCTACCACTGATTTTAATGCAAAAATCCAACAGATTCAGTGAGAGTTCTGTAAGCCACGATCTGTCTTATGCAACAATGGGAGATAGGGAGGATCATAACTGCTAGAAAATCATGTCATGTTAATTTACATTTCTGTCAAACATTCCACTTAGGAACTCATCAAGTAAAGAATTTTTCTGAGCCTGAGCCTGGGTTTTGTTATAGCCATGCTTTATCGCAATTCTAAGAAGCTGCAACTTGTAGCATGTAGTTATCCTAACTTCCAGTCTGCTTAATGTATTAAAGAAGTGTATTTTTAGATACTCGAGTCACTAAACATGAATTACGTAAGAATACGAAATACTTAAGACTTGTTAGTTACTTGAACAGTGATTTTATGTTATCTATGTACGTACATAAACACACACAGATACGTACAGATGAATTTAAGAACAACAGGGATGAAGCAAAATTCTAATGCCTGTTTTCTCTCTTATTTTCAAGGAATTACTACAGTTCTAACAATGACCACTTTAAGCATCAGCGCACGCCATTCTTTGCCCAAGGTGTCCTATGCTACTGCTATGGATTGGTTCATAGCTGTGTGCTTTGCCTTTGTCTTCTCTGCACTTATTGAGTTTGCAGCTGTCAACTACTTTACCAATCTTCAGACTCAGAGAGCAATGAGGAAGGCAGCAAGGGCAGCAGCACTGGCAGCAGCACTATCAGCAGCAACTGTACCGGCAGAGGACGAGATTGTCTCGGTAATTGCATGCTTTTCTGATAATAAATATCATATAGGGACAGACAGCTGAAGTGGTGAATGTGAAACCATATTAAAAAGTGATCTTAACCTGAAACAAATCATGTAACCAGATCATGCCTATTTATCAAAGACGTGGTTCTTTTTTCAGAAAATGAAAATACTTCATTTATTCAGACTGTTTATTTAAATCTAGAGAGATGTTTATTTGGTAATACATATAAGGAGTGACACTGGACTGCTACCCATAATACTTTCCTTGAGCAGTGCTGTAGGCATTGTGGCCAGGCAGCTGTGTTATTCCCTTGAGTAAGTCTGCAGAATCTGTGGGACACTGTACAGTGCAACCAATGTGTGCATAGGCCAGATGATTACAGGATCACTGTAGTATCCTGGCATATACCATAAGTGGGTCATCTGGAAGAAGATAAATTATCCTTTACATAGACTTGGCACCTATTACTTTCATAAAATCTGTGTTGGAGGAAGGTTGGGGAAATAAAAAAAATGAATGTGTAAATGTAAAGTTTAGGGATAGATTTCAGTACATGTAACAGATTAGAAAGCTTTCTAGTATTGAAAAACTTATGTCAGAATTACTTGTAAATAATATTCCTTACATTTTAGGATAAATACTTAATGTTGTCTTGCAACGTATCAGTACTGCCCTCCTGTTTGCAGAATCAGTTTTAGCACCACCACATTACCCACTTTGAGAGGAATAACAGAATGTGAATGACCCCTCCAAAACCATTGGGTCTGCAAGTTTAGTAGGAGACTAGAAGCACACCAGGGTAACAGGGTAGCACTATTCCACTCACGTGATCATTTTTCCACATTTCTTCATAACTGTTACATGTGTAACATTTTGGTACATTGAAAGTGTTAAATGTATAATTAATAAGTTCCATATAATACCAAAATCAGAGTTACAAACCATCTTGCTACTGGTCCTCATTGGGGCTAATCATAGAATGTCCTCCGAGCATCTCTGTGGCTCTTTGGATTCGTTCCAAGAGCTCTGCATCTTTCATGTGCTGGGGGCCCAAGGCCTGGCTGCAGTACACCAGAGGACTCGTAAGGGCATAGCAGAAGGGAACAATCCCATCCGTCACCCTGCTGCCACCTCTAGTGATGTAGCCCAAGGTACTGTTGGTCCTCCAGGCTGCAAGCTCTGGTTCACATCCAACTTTTCATTTGCCAGTCCTTTTCCATTGGGCTGCTTTCAAAGAGTTCTTCTTCTCCCAGTCAGTACTTGTATCTGGGACTGCCTTGACCAAAATAGTGCACCTTTCATTTGGCCTTGTTGAGCCTCATTAGGTTCACACGGTCCGTCCCATTTATCAAGCTTATCCATGTTCCTTTGGGTGGTGTTCCTTCCATCTCTGTAGTTAAGGAAAAGAATAAAGGCCACGCCAGACCCACACTGGCCAATTGGCAGGGAAGTATTGAGCTTGTAAAACCATAGGACTGTTGATTAATACTTTTTTTTTTTTTTAATATTAAAAATAGAAATTGAAAAGATGTGTAAGACATAACAAGAAAACAAAAAATGCATTTTATTTTCATTAAATGCGTAAATGGTAGAAGAATCAAATCTTCATATATTTTAATTCTGAACTATGGATTTTCTTTTTAATTCACCATTACATAAAGGAAACATAAAAGAAAGTAAAAAAAAAAAAAAAAAAAAAAAAAGAGGTGGTCAGATGTAAGTGTTCATAGATTCTTGCACTGATACCTGACTGACAGCAGAAAAGCAAAGCTGATTTAGTTTTGTCAATATTTGCAACTTTCAAATCTTCTTTTATTTTAACCAGTAAACAAAAGGTTTATAATTATATTAAAACTTCACAAAATAAACAAAAAAAAAAAAGAAAAAAAAGAGAGAGAAAAAGAGAGCACATGTTTGCTGATGTTTACATTAGAACATGCTTTCTCCCACCCATGGTACCGTATTTGACTGAAAAGTATTCTAGATTGAGTGAGCAGAATACTGTAGCTGTAGAATGGTACAGAATGAGAAGAACAGTGTTAAGACCAAAGGAACTCTAAATTATACTAACACTGCAATTTTATTTTTTGATAACTTTTTTTTTTTTTGTATGACAAGATATCATAAAAGTTGCTAAAGAGATAACCTTATGTAGAATGAGGAAAATACTGATAATATCTACATAAGATAGATAAGATAGATAAGAGATGGGTGACAGCTTTTCCTGTACACACTTTCTTATTCGAATTAATTATGTTGTGGTTTCCTCAAAGAAAATAAAAGCTGCATTTGTTGCTTAGTAATATGAAAACTTGGTTTGAGGTGCTCTGCATGCGCTACTGCTGATGCATTTGCCCCACCAAACCTTCCAGATCTCTAATAGACAACTGTTTCAAAACCAACCCTCTACATATGCCCAGATATATTCCTAATGACTGCAGTTGTTCCACAGTCTGTGGATGAGATTTAGTGTTTTCTATACCATTGCAGACAATACAAAGCACAATTTTAAAAACAGCTATTGAGCAAGTTAATAAAAATAAATAAATGGTAAGAGCTCACGTTTCTTTATCAAGGAGATCATCCACAAAAAAATCACAGAGCTAAACTGAAGACACAACGTCCCAACTTTATAAATATTTCCTTGTTGGTTTTTCCAAATTAAAGCAAACAAAAAATGGAATATTAAAAACATCTAGCAAGCACGTTGCAACCATTTCCTCAAAAAATTATTTCCAACTAGCTAATAACATAGAGATTTAGAAGAGTAAAACCAGCAATGCTAAGGTCTTAGGTAAACTTAGTCTCTAAGGCAGTCCACACTATCCACAAAATGGTATAGTGCTACTCTTGCTCAGAGCTCAAATTATCTAGAAGGGTAATTTTTAAGTGTTATTAAGTCCAACACATTTCTCTTAAAGGCCCAGTTCTCTCTGAGAATCCCCACTGCATTAAAAGAAAAATCAAGGAAATCATAAAAATGATGAGTACTTAACACTGGAGGAAAGAAGATACAGTCAAAATGGTTTCTGGAAGACTTCAGCTAGTTAACACTATTGGATTTCCAAGGTTTCATTTCAGAAAGGCATGGTGGGAAAAAGGACTAATTACATGATAACAGGCTTCAAGAAACATCTATGTAATTACTCATATTCCTGTTTGAGATGAAGGCAAATGGGAAAGAGTTTCTCTGTACTGTCACATAGATGAACATCCTATGCTCTCAGTAATCTAATTTCAGTTGAAACAGACTTGAACTAGCTGATTTGAGTGCTAACAATGTAGTAAGCACAGGCTGATTGCATGAGTGTATGTCTGCTTCCTTAAGGATCATCATCCTGCACTGAACTCTATTCCTTTATAGCTATATTACTGATCTTCAAACTGTTTAAGTAAGGCACACAACTTAATATTCCATTCTTACTGTAGGTTTAGGAGCTGTCTCAGAGGTCCTGAATTTCACTTAGTCGTTTCCTCATCTCTGCCTATAATTTTTCCATTTGTTTGCCCCCATGTTCTTTCTTCACTTTTCTTTCTACAATGCACAGTTCTCATTCTTTATCCTTTGCATAATTTATCCTGCCTTTCCTGCACCTCTTTTTATCTCTTCTCCTTCTCTCTTCCAATTCACTAGATAAAATATATTAAAATCCATATCTTACACATTTCAAATCATTGTAACTTATTGTCTGCTCCATATTTTTAAGAAAAAATTAAAAATTAAGATCTTTCCCTTCAGACATGCTCTGGGCTCTAGTACTTTATTTTCCCCCTAGTCTGTGATTTATTTACTTATTTGCTTGTTCTTCTACACAGAGTAGTAAAGTTTTCCATCCACTTACAATGCTAGTATTTTTATTTGCCTTTCATTTTCGGAATGTGTGAAAGGTGTCAGGATTTTAGATACATGGAGGGTCATTTGTAGGATGAAGAATAATGAACAATGAGTCAAATATGCTTCTTGTCTTGTATTTAGAGATATCAGATGATATTTTACACTGAGAAAATTTCTGAAAAATGTAAAGAATTAATTAGTTTTGGGCAATCCAGAGGTAAAAGTAGAAAAGTGAGATGTTCTTATTAGGAAACATTCACTGCTGCAAAACTGCCATTGCAACTCTTCTACTTGTAGCAGTAGTAGGAGCAAGGATGTATATGTTTTATACATGATATTGTCTAAAATTGCCTGAAATATGGCTAAAGACATTGTGGTGGGAATATCTGCACCCTCTCTGAACTAGTTCTTTCTACATCTTCTACTATTTCAGGTAGGGCGGGCATAGAGAAAACATTTTCATGCAAATGAAAATAAGAATTTATAAAACTGTTGGAAGCTTTAGTTGCTTTCAGTGAAGGCCTGAACTCACCAAGATAAAGTATCTACAGAACATATTCAGTTTTTTGTTTGTTTGTTTGTTTGTGTTTTTGGTTTTAAATGCCAAATTAAATGTGTTTCCTGCAAAAAAAAAAAAAAAAAAAGTATTTCAAAATGCTATCCAAAAACCTTCTTGAATCTACTTAAATCTGTTCAAAATCTTGCGTTATTCAAATAACAACTCGTTTTCTCAGGTTTTTATTAAATCCCCCCAGAAACCGTACATTCAGAAAATAACGATGGCAGAAGACAAAATTCTGCTGTATTTTTCTTATGAAGTAGGAGAAATTCTCGTAGAGTTTCTGGAATAGAGTGGTTTCAGTGAGAGTTACAGTGCTGTGACTGCTTGCCCTGTTAACTGATGACAGCCCAGCATGCCTGTTCTGGTTCTAGGCAAGCCACTCTATTTACCTCAGTTAACTGAGAGCAGAATTTGGCTTGCTCTCTCTGTCAGCTGCAGGCAATCCTTGTGTGAAATACAAAACTATGGGTGTTCCACTCCAAAATATGATGGCAACAAGCTGGGTGATCATCTGGACCCTGACAGAAGCCTCCTTTTATTCATATGGTGATGACAAGCTTGCTCTAGCTTGTCAAAACCAATTTTTTTTTTAATGTATATATATGTACA